AAAAAAAAAAAAAAAAAAAATGGTGTACGTACTTATTTTAACACTCACTGAACCTTATATTAAAGTAGTTGATGTCTTTTAACTGACTTTTTAAACATCTCAATCACTGAATATAAATACACACCACACGAATGCAGTTTCGTATCCAGATAAGCTCAAACTGGGCGCCTGGGCGCCTAGAGGGGAGAAAAGCTGACTTACGACATTTCTTGCTCAATAACTGTGAGTAGAGGGAAGGGTTTACCACATTTGATCATGTGTCCAGCTATCACAAAACATGTAGCGACAATCATGGACAAAAGTCGTGCGACAAATATTTGCACTTTTGGTGCTTTTGCACACACGCCAGACAGTCGTGCGAATACACTTTTACCTGCCTAACCTCTCCCCCCACCCCACATACAATGCTGAAGACTAGCACGTGCAATTTCTTTTGAGATTTAGCATTGTACTGGGTAGGGAGGGAAACAACGCGTTCTTAAAAGTACAGCAGTGCTTTTTCAAACCAGTTGTAAAACACAGAAAATCCGTTGGTCTACATCAGTGCCCCAAGGACTTTTGTACACAATTTATAAATTATGTTTTCGAGAAATGGAAACTAAACCAGTGCCTGGACTTCTAGAAAGCCCGTCTCACTACGTCCACACAAAACCTTCTAACTTCTAATTTCTCAAGTGTTCAAACCGCCGTAAAATCTGGAAGTTTTACCGCTCTGGTTAGACTTTCTTACAATGCTACAAGTCGAGCTGCGAAACCTTATCGAGCTAGAAGCGAGAAAAATGTCCGCCAGTTTGTCCAGATTGTGACGTGCGCGACTAACAGGAAGGTAAAGGACTAAGCACAACCGCGAAGACCTTGCAATCCCCTTGCAATCCAAATATAGTTTTATATTCAATCACTTGAAAAAGAAACTGGACAGCTATATCAAATAGGAAGGGCGTGGGAAAATTAATATCAAGCCAGTAAACCTCAAGGGACAGATTTTATGGCGGCCTTAAAGTTTCAAAATTTACAAGCATTTGTAAGCGAAAGGACTTAAGATGGAAAGGGTTGTTCTTCCCATACAATACTCATTTCAAACGGCCGTTACAAAATTGACCCTTTAGAGATAGAAGCCAGAGAATTTACGGAACCTGTAAACTGTTGAACAATCAAAACGTCCGCTATTGAGGTGTGTGGATTGGTTTTGTTTTTGTCTGTTGCACCCTATTGGTCCCTATAGTCCACAGCGTGTTTTTTTCCTTAGTAAAAGGCGAGTCGAGCCATAAGCAGGCGAAACAAGATATTAAAACATATTTCGATTCACCGTGCTATAATTTTTCTTCTAGTATCATGCGATATTTGTGCCTTGTGTACTACTTTTTTTCCTTCTGTTTTTGCTTTACCAAGAACATGTCAAGAAAAAGAACGATCAACTTTTTTTTTAAAATTTCACTTTCTTTTAATATTATCTACTGCGGAAATTATGGCATCTATAAATCTATGATATTGAACGCGTAATAATTTAAGTCGTTCATCCTTGGCCACATTTGACTACCACTCATTGAGTTTGCTAAACAAGCTGTTGTATTATTTAAATGAGAAGTTAAACATCGAGCTTTTTATGATTAATCAGTTCTTTTCAAGCGGTAAGGAAACTTCAGAACCTACTGACTCTCTGCTATCTCCTTTACGCACTAATCTTGCGATCTTTTTGTTTCCTGATTTTATGCGTCCTTCTGAACTGATCGGTGAACCGGCAGTGTTTCCGCCACTCAGAGGCGAGCCCGTGTTTTTCCTGATCTTAGCAGCCTTCTGCAAGCCTTTGATTCTGGCGTTGATCTCGTTGATCTGTGAGAAATTCAGTTTGGATTTCCCTTGTTCCGGCGCCGGACTGTCTTCATTTCCCTCCTCGACACCTTCCGCTAACGGAGGAAGAATTTTAACCGGTTTCGGAGCAACTTTGTAGCCTATTCGGTAAGAACTGCTCCTCTGTTGATTGTATATACAATACAAGCGCAGCAAATCTTCTTGTACTGGTGTACATGGCGTGAAATATTCCGGCACTACAATTCTATCTGGCGCCGTCAAGGGGCGCTCTTTGTTTGGTTTCTTCTTGTTGACAATTTCTGGAAGAGAACAAACTTTCATCGTCTTTGCGCTCACAGTCTTGCGTAATTTTCGAGCCAATTTTTCCTCCACCTTAGGCTTATTCTCGACGGTGTAAAACGCAGAAATGACCCGCTTTCCATTGTGCAGCATTTCTTTTTTCCACTGCGCAGCGCTTTTGAACTGCTCCATATCGCGGACTTCCAACGAAGCCTTCCCTTCTTCGATTAAAACGTCCGCGCATTGAGCTTGTCCTATTTTTAAAGCATGTATAAGTGGAGTTTCGCCCTTGTTATTTAGCGTGTCCACGCTTAAACCGTAGTATTTTAATTTCTTAACAATCATCTTCACAATCGAGAGATCCCCCACGGTAATTGCATGGAATAGCGCCGTGTTTGCATCTTTGTCGGTCGCATTTAGATTGTAGTCCACAAATTGAAGAAACAAAGTCACAAGTTTTTTTCTTTTTAAAATGCACGCGTACGATAGCGCCGTCAATCCTTGCTCGTCTTGAAAATCGAGTTTTGCGCCGTTTTCCAAAAGCATCTTTGCCAAACCAAAAGCTCTGTCCTCGTCGTCTAGGAAACACACTTCCATGATCGGCGTCCGCTTGTTTTGGCCTCGCCAGTTGATATCAGAGCCAGCCTCGATCAGTAACTTAGCTTGTCTCCAACGTTTGTTGCGAATAGCTAAACTCAAAGCCGTCATGTCGTAGGAAATTTCCTTTCAGACGGATAATTTTCCTCTCGCTCTTTATTGACTAAAGAGTCAAACTTTTCACTTTTGCGTGTGAATTAACTCGAAATTGCAATTACGCTGTAAAATGAAAACATGACTTTATTGTCAAGTACCGCGCATTTAGTTTTGACCAATGGCGCTGAAAGTTGATAAAGACAGACAGGTGATATCACAGTGTGAATTATGTATTTCCTTAGTCAACCTGATTTACACCTGTCGGAGAAAACGCATTTAAAAAATAACAAGCAGATGCGATTTTTAGTGTTTTGATTAGGAAAGAAAAATTATCTTTCAGTGACCGTTAAAAACAACGTTTTCGTTTCTTGTCCCTTTATTAAAATTGGCAGGAGTTTTCCAGGTGAATAATAAACAAGTATCTTTTCCAAAACATTCTACATATTAGGCCGGTACATTTTACCCTAGCAGAGTCAAGTGTTTCACTTCCTTTCTAAAAATGAACTTTAACAAAACGTTTCTCTGTGAAGCGTTAATATAAATGCTGCTTTTTTCTTGAATAGTCTGGCAGCACTGAACAGAAGGTAGAATTTCAGGACATTTCAATTTTTAAAATGTTTTGTTTCTTGGTTTATCAAAGTGAATTTGATTCCTACTGTGTTTACACCATAATTCTATATATAGCCACCAGCATCTATTATAGGCCTATCGTTTTAAAAGACATAGCTTATACTATCCCTCATTAGCATGCGACTTCCGTAGAGAAGGCATCAAAAACATGCTACATATCAGAATCAACACAGTTAAAGAGCTAGTGAAACATGGTCCATAGAGAAATCTGTAAACTGTTTACTGAGCTCTTTGGGTGTAATAATATTTATTTATGAAGGATACATAAGCTTTAAAAAACAGCCAGATATCTGCGCGACAAAAGAGCTAATAAGCCCATACATTCTTTGTAACACTGAGTTTTTAAACCCGCGTCGCACAAAAAGTATTCAATAATACACTAGGTTCAAATTCATTGGGATTGTTAATCGTGCTGTTGACGTTCAATATTCAGCAGTGATATTTTTGTAGCTCGATCATAAACGAAATTGCTTATGCTAATGAGGTAAATATTGTAAAAACAAAGAAATTCCCCTAGAATTAAAACGAATTTTTTCTTGATGGACGTTTTCTCGTTTTGCTAAGCCCGTCAACACGATTGACTCAAAGGGTTTACTTTGTAAGGAAGTTACAATGGCAAAGAGAATATCGCCAAACAAAAGAGTCAACTAACAGTACAAAGGCCCAAATATTTTAGATTGTATTTGTGTTATTTAGATTATTTGATTTGTAGTTTAGTCGGGTCAGGGAAGGGTTTTTTCGGGATATTTTTTAGGGGGTTGGGTGT